GGCCCGCATATGATTCCACAAATGTGGCCCAGTTATCCTAAACCTTATCTGGGCCAGTTTTAGCAAAGATATGGCACAGTGAGCACTGGCTAATGTGGCTGTGAGCCTAAAGTGGCCCTTATATGATGCCGCAAATGTGGCCCGCATATAAAATGACAAATATCGCCCAAATAATTAATAACAATTTGGGTCACTTTTGGCAAATATACGGCACAGTCAGCATTGGCTAATCAGTGTGTAAGCCAACTTGTCCCACATTTGACATGGCAAATATGCCCCATATATTATAAAACAGATGAGGACCACTTCTGGTTGTAACACTTGACAATGTCTAATTGAAATGGAAGCTTGAAATTGTAAATATGGTCTTAAGAAGGCTACATACGCAGCAATTTATTTTTTGAAACATGCTTTTAATGGCAGTTTTTTTTATGTGTACTATGCAGCATAAAAGCGGAAGTGCACTATAATGATTCAGGTGTGCCTAGTTAATTATCCTTGTTTGGTCTGAGTACTTAAGTTCCTGTATGTTTGAGTTTGTCTGGTCTTACGTCTACATGTCTTAAATGTTGCTGTGCTGCAGTGTGTTTGGATTTACCCTTGTTGGATTAAAGGCTTTTGCTATATAACCTTTCATCTTCGTTGTGCGCTCTTTAACACAGCGTAGCCATGACACTCACAGACTTACTGTGTAGGTAGAGCCTGAGTGAGAAGCATTTAAGTTCAAACTTGTGAAGAATAGTTTTTAAAGTATTGGAATGTGTCTTTGAATATTTATCTGTGACATTTTAATTGCTGCTTGTGCAAAACTTGGGTCGGGATGATTTTATCAAGTACATTTCTGGAACTTATTTTATTTGAACATTTATGGAGGACATTTTTAAATTTCTCTTTACAATGTTGAGTCTTGTTGATGCATAACTCACTTAAGGCTAAGCGTGGCCCAGATAATGTATATTTATGGTTTTTGTTCATTATTAGCTAAAATGTGGCTGTGTAGTGGCCTGCTTGTGGACCACTGCCAAAATGCCACCATTCCATGCAGCATGTGGGCCACATGAGGAATGTGGGGAAGACCGTGGGTTAGAATAAAAATCAACTGTGGCCCACATTAGGGCCAGTTTTGGTTTAATTGGTTGGCTTACATGCAGCAATACTAAGGCTTACTTGAGGCCCAAATCTGGCAAACAGAACCGGACTGCCCAAATGCCATTATTCCACACAGTATGTGGGCCGGAGCAAGGTGTTGGATCTGGGCCAGTTCTACTTTATTTTATTTATTTATTGTCATGGATGATATGCGGCCTTCCTATAGCTTGCTTGTGGCCCAAATTTGGCAAACAGGAGTGGACCACACATTTGCCATCATTCTACATAGTATGTGGGCCAGAACAAGGTGTTAGATCTGGGCCAGAATTAAAGTAAATGTGGCCCAGATTTGGGCCAGTTCTGCTTTATCTGGTTTATTCATGACTGACATTGGGTCTTCCTTTGACTTGCTTGTGGCCCAAATCTGGCAAACAGGAGTGGTCCACCCAAATGCCATCATTCCTCACAGTATGTCGGCTGGGGCAAGGTGTTGGATCTGGGCCGGAATTAAAATCAATGTGGGCCAGATTTGGGCCAGTTCTGCTTTATTTGGTTTATTCATGGCTGACATTGGGTCTTCCTTTGGCTTGCTTGTGGCCCAAATCTGGCAAACAGGAGTGGTCCACCCAAATGCCATCATTCTTCACATTATGTGGGCTGGGGCAAGGTGTTGGATCTGGGCCGGAGCTGGGCCAGAATTAAAATCAGTGTGGGCCAGATTTGGGCCAGTTCTGCTTTATTTGGTTTATTCATGGCTGACATTGGGCCTTCTTTTGGCTTGCTTGTGGCCCAAATCTGGCAAACAGGAGTGGACCACCCAATTCATCCCACGCGGTATGTGGGCCAGATGAAAGTGTCAGGTGTGGGCCTGATCTGGGTCTCGAGTTATGTCTCACTGATGAAGCATTTTCCCATGAACACATTGCAATATGTGATATGGGACTTGTAAAAAAAATTATGTATGCTCTAAAATACATGGGCAGAAAACAAATACAAGCTGGAACAAAGTCTTGAAGGAGGGGTTGAGTGTTTATATTGAAATATGACCAAAATACATTCTTAAATGTTTTTTTTAATGTACATGTCCCACATCCTGTTCACACTATAGAACCATATTACGTGTTTTGTTATTTGTTCTATAACACAGGCTTATTTTCATACAGATTTACCTCTTATGCCTCCATATGGAAGAGCTTACAGCAATAAAACATATGTTGCAAATGGTGCAAGATATTGCTGAGCTTCTTATCTTCTGAGTCAGAGCTTACTGTAAAACAGATATCAAGCTGAAGTGGACTTTTGTGCTTTACACTACAGTGTCAAAGATTTACTCACAAGATTAGATGTTCAAATAAAAAAATAATTATTTAATTAATTAAAAAAGAAACAAAGCATTGATGCCTTCATATTTATTTAGAAAATACAATCATATTTTGATGGATGTAGAGTATATTTTACATCACAAATATAATCAACAGTCATAGCAGTCACCACATTAAGCTTATGAATAATATCCCTTGTCATTTTGACTTTGGTGAATGTACATTGCCACTTTACACTGCAGACTACACAACGATCAAATGTCAGATTTTGAAATAGCTGGTAAAGCCATTTCAAATGACTGTATACCGAAAACACTTGAATCAAATAAAAATGTTTTCCCTCTCCATCTCCAAAAGAGAGACTTGCAAACAAACACATCACCAAAACAGCGCAAAGTTATTGCAATTTAAAAATAACATTATTGGATGCCATCTGCCACTTGTATTGTGATATTGCACAAATGATCAAATGATTGCAGTTTCAAGAAATAACCCAACTATTGCGAAGGAAAAATGTGCATATGGCTGTCTTGAAACAGTCAAAACACCCACAACCTTCATCAGAAACTTATTACAGCAAATCATTTTGAGGGCAAGTGCTGCCAGAGGAGAAATATTTCATATCAATGAAAGAAGAATAAAAAAATCTCTAGATTTTGGGGTAGATTTGTCAAAACATCTTTGATGCCACAGTACTTTAAATGAGGAATCAGTCAGCTTGACAGTGATTCAAAAATCCCTTTTAACCATTCAGCAAATCTCTGTGTGTGTGTGTGTTGGTTCTGCCTGAAAGGATTGAATAGAGTGGGTGAAATCTTTTAACACACACTGTGACATAATACATGCTGATAAAAAAAACAGAAATGACAGATTTGACATCAATACACAACGATTTCAAGAGACTGAAGAAAAAACTGTGGAATGAAACTGAAATGAAAAAAATAAATTACACTATTATTATTACTTAAATAACATGTAATATGGGTCGTCTTCCGCCATTTTGGAGAATACCCAACAGCGTAATCGACGTAATCAGCGCTGTTTACATTCGGAGGAGAAAGCATGCGCATGAACATAATCTGCGTAATCAGCGTTATTTACGCTTAGGGGAAAGCGTGCGTATGCGTTGTGATACTCTCTAAAATGGCGGAAGAGGTAACTCGAGGGAGAAGAATTGTTGAATAAATTATTTTTGTTTTCTTTGCGCTCAAAAAATATTCTCGTAGCTTCGCAAAACTGAAGTTGAGCCACTGATGTCACATGGACTGTTTTACCGATGTCCTTACTATGTTTCTGGACCTGGGAACATTACAGTTGCGTTGCTGTCTATGCAGGGTCTGAGAGCTCTCACATTTCATCAAAAATATCTTAATTTGTGTTCCGAATATGAACGAAGGTCTTACAGGTTTGGAACGACATGAGGGTGAGTAATTAATGACAGAATTTTCATTTTGGGATGAACTAACCCTTTAATTGATGGGCTGGAGTCATGTGGATTGTGTGTTTTTATCAGCTGTTTGGACTCTCATTCTGACGGCACCCATTCACTGCAGAGGATCCACTGGTAAGCAAGTGATGTAATGCTAAATTTCTCCAAACCTGTTCTGATGCAGAAACAAACTAATCTACATCTCGGATGCCCTGAGAGTGAGAATATTTTCAGTAAATTTTCATTTTTGGCTGAACAATTTTTTTTTCAAACACCATGTAAAGATTATGGTACATAAATATTTTTATCACTCAGTTCTATGACATATAGTCCAGTACCAGAGTACTTCTTGGTCCAGTCTGAGAGTGACGACTGAGTGTAAATGTATTCAAAATTATGGCCATCATGGTGCAATTTACACCTGCTTGGTACTACCAAACGGTCATTATGACTGGTTCTCCCGTGATATATGGCAACAATTTGCAGCATGTCATGTGATTTATGGCTCTATAATCACAGCTGTGGCTTTAACCCAATTAAAAACCAGCAAATTTTAATAAAACCATAGCAAAATACAACAAACGTCTACTTCACAGATCAATAAGACTGCATCAAAAAGTGCAATAAAATTTAACAGTGGCTAACAAGGTCACAATAAAAGCACAGAAAAAGAACAATTTCACTCTTTTGAGACATGAACACAGAACAGATCTTTAAAGCACAAGCAAAAGACTTTAGATTTTAGATATCAGTGTAATGAGGAACCCTTCAGAGATGATAACAACTACTCCCCCGTGAACGTCTATTGAGGACGCCACATACCCTAAAGGTATTAGAGCTGTGCTGAAATTTACTCTTCCCTTGCTCAATTAAATATTCATTCATGAAGAGCTTTTCTTGTTAATTACAGATCTGGCTGGTGTTTGATTAAAATGGAAGCAAAATCTTCAAGATGTTGCCTAGTGTTGCAGGTGTTATAAAAATGTAGTATCATAATGGTGAGATTTTATTCTGTAAACAAGACCACTGATGTTAGAAGCCAGAGATCATCCCATCCTTCCTCCTTTTTTGAGATGCGATAGATTACTCCAGTCTTAATGAATCCGCTGCCATCCTGTTCTGCTCTTTTCAGGATTGGTCCATATCAAAAAAGGTCCTCCTTTTTTGATATGGACCAATCCTGAAAAGAGCAGAACAGGATGGCAGTGGATTAATTAAGACTGGAGTAATCTATCGCATCTCAGAGTATTGACAGAAGTAGTAGAGAAATGGAAAAGTGATGGAAAAGAAGTAAAGTCTGTTTTCACTTCTCCAGCTAAAACTCATTTATCTGTTCAGTGTGATCTAATGTGAACCTAAAACCTTGAATGAAGATATGTGAGATTTTACATTCAAGTTAAGACACAGAAAACGTGAAAAACACACATAAAGCAACTTGACAGACATGATGGAATTATTACCAGCATACTGGCAGCAACCGAATGTGTCTAGAAATCCTCCAAATAATGGGGACCTCAGTCTTAGCTTCTCAATGAAGCCGTCCAATCGTGCTTTGCAACATGACTGGAGACAACCAGAGCATCTCAACCAAATTATATTGCCAGTAGCCCATGAAGAAACCGAATACGACATCCGTCACGTGATGGCGTCCGAGGAGAACTCTAGAAAAACCAACAAATGTGGCCCAGAGCAGGACAAGAACGCGGAGTGGGGCCGCCAGCACCAGATGGGCCAATAGAAAGCGGGCGCACATTGCAGCACGTGTGGCATGGCCTGATGGGAAGGAATAGCCATCCACAGAGAATGTGGCAAACATGTCCATACGGTTATGGGCAGGACGTCGCCGCCGCACTACAGCCTTCATCACGCCGACCAGGACCAGGTCCAGAACCAAGGCTGAAAAAGAAATTATGAAAACATATGAAAAACTGGACAACTGAGAAATTGTTGAATTTGACTGAAGTCAGGCAAACTTAAATATTAAGGCCAGTTCACATAGCATCGACAGACACAGACCTAGCCAACAGTCATTAGATTGCAGTATGACATTTTCCAAGACCCGACAAACAACCAGAAAAACAAGGGCCGATCAACGGAGTACAGGAGTAACGCACTGATCCGACAAAACCTGATGAACATATTTGTTGCAGTTTGGCTGCCTCTGTTGTGTAGTGTGAATGGGCCTTTATAGGATGCCTTAATATGGAGCTTAAAATATGACAAAACTATTTGAATTCGAACTGTGTAAATTTGAATTCTTGACAAGTGTCATTTAGCAAAATTGAATATTATGTGGTATTTAACATAGTTCTGAATTCGATTTTAACTTGAATATTGAAAATGTAAAATTGAACACAATTAAAAAATTTTTATGTCAAGTTTTATAAACACGTATTTTCAAACAGCAGATTTTTTGTTCAGAATTTTTAGACCGCAAATATCCACTTTTTAAAAAAAAAAATACAGCTTCAAGTTTTCAGGATGAAGAAGAAATTCAGAACATCAAAGAACATCAAAACATCAAATATCAAAACAGACTGGGCCAGCTGAGCAACCAGAGCAGACTGGGCTTTTCAGAAAGGTGGGCTTTAAAGACATCAAAAGCATTTCAGGCAATGGGTTTTTCTGGCACTTTGTTTTAATGCAAACCCATTTTTAAAGCAAATGTATCACTTGTGTTTTATAAGTATCAATTGCAGTAGGTCCTGTTGATGGGAACCAACCATTACCAATCATGGCCAACTACAACTGGTTACACATTTGAGATTTTTCCACAGTGATGAGTGGAAAGGTCTTTTCACAATATTTTATGATTGATTACAACTGCCCCTGAACACAATGTGTTGTGATTTCCAGGATGAATGAAATGTTTAATAAAAGATGTTAAACTGGGCGAAGAAGCTGTAGCAATTACCTCTGGAAACTGACCAAGCATAGATGCCAGGCCCAGTGCATATCACCCTGTTTCATTAACGAGCCGAGTAAGCCATCCAGTTCAATCTAGTTTTAAAACCTGTCAACATTAATGAATGGAATGTCAAAGCAACAAGGGAGTCAGTGGAATAACACAAATGTTGTAATGGGATTAGTAAGTGAGTGATTATCTCTCCATTTATCCTCCGGAAATACTGCTGAGAATCATGATAAATATGTCTGGATCACTCTGCAGGAACAATCAAGAAGACTGTTGCATTTTAAACGGGATGCCAATAAGCCACATCAATAATGTAAATCCCAAATAAACGGAAACCTGCCTCATCTGCAGATACACCAGTGGGTTATGATAGGAGTCACACATCAAAGAAAATGAGCCTTAAAGGCGCAATAGGTGATTGTCTTCAGAAACATTTTTTGTTATGCTGGTTGAAAGTCTCTTCACATCCCGATAGCAATCATTAAGTTAAGTGGTCTAAATGTATTTGTCTGTATTTATATATTCTGTGGAAGGTGTAGAATCAAGAAATGTTCGTCTAATCAAAACGTTCGGTCCGAGCGTTTTAATATGCTGTCCTACCTGCCTGTCAACATATGTATTAGCATAACTCTGCGCACCCTGTTCGCGCAGACAGAATACGTCATCAGCGCGTTCACGCACGCTGTGCAGACAGAGCGAGGATGGCAGGCAAACATCAACAAGCCGATCTTCCTTCCTGGTATTGTAGTGCTTTTAAAGATTTCTCACCTGTGAATGACACATGATGTAGCCCAGCGGTTAATCCTGTCCTCGCGCCAGCTCGTTAGAAGTGAGCTACGTGCATGAACTGTGTTCCGATCGATATGATCCCTACACAGTGTTCATTGCTCCCTACTCCCTGAGCAGGGGAAATCCGTTGAAGTTTACTTCACTTCGGAACATGGGCTGGAATTGGGAACCTGATGTAGCCTATTGTAGTAATGTTGTCTCTGGTCTGTGAGTGTAAATGCGTTCAGGGGGCATGGCTTTGGACGGCGATTGCAGGAAGGGTGGGACGTTCGCTTTCAGTGCTATCAGGCTAAAGTTAGCATTTTCCAAGATCTCCTATTGTACCTTTAAACAGGGCCAGAAAGAGTGGAGAAAATGTATAAGGAATCAAAGCCAGCCTAAGATTGATATTAGCTGTGTTGACAAAACAAACGGGCAGATGGAGATATATGGACGTCCATGTCATGATTTCAAAGAAATGGTCCAGGTTCAGTAAAGTTGTTTGCAGTCTTAAAATCAGGAAATTGACATTTGATGTTCCGATTGAAAATTTCTAATAAGTTTTTCGAATGACAGTTTTAGAGTTAATAAGGCCTGAGGTTGAAATTACTTGAAACGACTTACACATTTTATTCTACAATAAAAAAAATTATATACACATACATATATATATATATATACACACACACACACACCTCAGGGGTGAATTCTGATCTTAGCATTTAAATTATTTAGAATAAATTGATTCATAAAAACGGACAAATATCATGCAGACACTACGCAATTATGATGCAAGGCAGTGCAGCAAGGATAAACCTTAAACCTACAGTTTCCAAATTATAGCCACAAGACTTCACAATACATCACAAGAATTTTGCCCACCAACACTGTCTGTGCAAAATTTGATCTATTTTTAACCTCATGGTCACGACCATGTAAACCCATTAACTTTCACATGATATGCACAAGGATAACAGTAAAAAACTGTTTACTGAAAAATCTACTTACAGGAATGACACAAGTAACTCATAATAAGCAGAAATTCATCCATGCACAACCAGTGCTGCACCATTCAACAAGGCTATTTAGACTTTACCTCACAAATAACACATATTTTGTACAGAAGAATAAATAAAAATATTTTAACAAAAAGCATCACATTCCTATTTTGAACACTAGGAACACCTTACCCTACTGAGCTACACTGCAAGAGCATCATTACATCATTGCCGAGTTAAGCTTGATTTACTAACTTAGTGATGTCTTTGGGGCCCGGGGACTCACAGGGGGCCGCAAGAGAGTGCAAGGGAGTCTGTGTAAAAATCAGCGTAAAATCTGTGTACCCCCCCCAAATAAATAAATAAAAGGATAAATAAAGATTTGTCTAAATATATACATTTTATTAAAATAAAACAAAAAACGAATTAAAAAAATAATAAATGTAATTAAAATAAATAAATTGATTAAAATAAAGGTGGACTTAACTACTTAACTAAATAAATCAAAACTATTGATTAAAATAATTGATAAAAGTAAATAAATAAAATGCATTTTGATTTATTCAATACATCTAACAGTACAGTAACGTACCATTTTCTACTACAGTAGAAGAAACGCAATGTAACGTAATCAAACCGAAATATTTTACAAATAACATTTTACAATAATTATATAAATTATACACAGTATTAAGAATATATAGCCTTTTCAATTTTAGGATGGGGTCCCGCGCATCATATCTGGTGGTCCGTGCAATCTAAAAGACTGAACACCCCTCTTCTATGGCAAACTCATTTTGAAAGCGACCATTTAAATTAATAGCAGCAGTTAAAGCGCATTACCCATGAGCAGGTTCAGCATGACCTCCTGACCGGCGGCACTGTCGCTTTTGTACAGGCAGTACGCGGCACTGGCCAGCCACGGGATCCCGTGTCCTGAGATCTCCACGAGCTTCATGAGGGGTCGCACGCTGCCCCAGGACGAGTCCTCACAGGCGCACACCCCGAGCCGCTTCGACAGCCACAGGTCGATGGCCAGCAGAGAGCTGAGCGCGATGCCGACGATAGACGGGTTTAGTTTCATACAGTCTTCCTCCGGTAACTGCTGCCCGCCGGTGGAAGAAGTGGACGAACCCGAGCCGCGTCGTCGGTTGGGGCTCTCGGAGGCTCGGAGCCGGGCCGTAGTGGGATCAGAGCCCTGCCTCTGCAGCAGCTGCGGCGGGGGAGCTCGGCTTAGAGAAATGAACTCGTAGCGCCCGTTTCCACCGGTACACGGAACACTGCCGCTGCTCCGCGCTTTAGGAGAAGGCATTTTACTTCCCAAATGCCAAGACAGGCTAGTCTGATATTATTGGAATGTCTTCTGTTTTATAATATAGCTTTTGGATGTGTCTTTTTTTCAGGTCATAGTTTTACAGGTGATAACAAAGAACTCGTCTGACTGGACTACCGCGCAGCGCCATCTTTATTTGAAAGAAAAGAGAGGAAAGGGAAAAAAAACAAAAACAAACAAACTAAAAAAAAATTTAATACAAAATTATATACATATTCCCCCCCTCCCCTATATATTTCTATTAAATTCTTTCACTTATCCCAGTATTTTTCAAATAATTCATTAGGAGACTATGTACTTCCCTAGACATTGTTTCTCCTAGCAGATTTCCCACTGTCATGTTTTGCTTTCCAACTTGTGTTTCTAACTCCCTTCTTTCTTCTTCATACCTTTTACAATCTAATAAAATATGTTTTACTGTCTCTTGTGTGTTGCAGTGGTTGCAAAGACCAGTGGGGTGTTTTCCTATTCTCTGTAATGTAAAATTTAAACCAGCATGACCTATTCTAAGACGTGTAATTATCTTTCCTTCCTTTGGATTCCTGCTCTGCCTAATACTATTTAAGCCTACTTGTTTTTGTATGTTATCTCTCATTTCCAACTGTTTTTTGAATATTATATAAATGCCGTCCTTTATTCTCACCATCCCATTTACTTTGCCATATATCTTTTAATGCTTTTTTAATTAGCCCTTTTATTTCTAATTTACTCATTGGAACATTAAACTCTATGTCTGGATGTTTTAATGTTTTTTTTGCTATTTGATCCACCACTTCATTACCTTCTATTCCTATATGTGCAGGTATCCATACAAAAGAGATAATTGTTTTTGTTTGTATTCTGAACAAACTTTGTAAAATGTCTGATAAAATGTCTTGTCTAGTTGAAGATTTACCACTCTTTAAACTTGATAGTGCTGAAAAAGAGTCTGAACATATGACTACTTCAGGTATAATAATGTCTTCAACCCACTGAAGAGCCTGCTTCTTCTTCTTCTTCCGTTTTTTGGCGTGTTACATCCTGTGTGCATATCGCCACCTACTTTTGCTGTTATGCAGTCATGGTTTATTTATAATCAATTTCTTCCTTGTTTTTGCTTTTCCTGTTCTTACACACGAATACACAAAAATATTCCTACTTAAATAATTATTCGATGCTCCATCCCATTCCTTCTCCCCAGGCTCCACCTGGCGCTGCGTGTTCAGCTCCTCCAGACTAAATCTCTGGTCTAAAGATCCAGAATAGAATAGAGCATCCGCATTCTATATTTAAATCCTTTCACTTAACCCAGTAGTATATATGTATTTTATTAATATCCTGTATCCTTCTCTATCTCTGGTAAACTCATAGGCCTATCCTAATAAGTATTCCAAATCCTTATTTACCTGACCTTTTTTGTTTAATTATGATATTAATTCCTTTCTTTCTTCATCATACCTTGTACAATTATATAGTACATGCTCCACTGTTTCTTTCTCCCCACAATTCCCATAGACCAGTCTCATGTATTCCAGTTATGAACAGTGAAGCGTTCAATCCCGTGTGTCCAAGTCTCATCCTAGTTATTATAACCTCTTCTTTTCGATTTCTACCACTTACACTTCTTTTAGTATTAACCATTTTTTAAATATCAGATTCATTACCAGCTATTCCCACATGTGCTGGCACCCAGCAGAATCCAACTACCACTCCTTTTCTTTGTATACGCCATAATAATGTAAATATTTCACACATCAAATCTTCTCTAGAAGATTGCCGAGTAATCAATGATGTTAAAACAGAAGCAGAGTCAGAGCATACCACTACTCTGTCTGGTCTTACTTCCTCTACCCATGTTAGTCCTATTATGATAGCAACCATTTCAACAGTATATATTGACAATTTAGATGTTAATCTTTTAGTTATGGATATTTTAAAATCTGGAATATATATTCCTACTCCTGTAAGCCCTGTTTTGGGGTCTTTAGATCCATCAGTATAAATGTGCATACTTGCATAAAATCTTTCCTGTATATACTTATTTACATTATATTTAATACTACCCATTTCCTCCCATTCTCTTTTCTTATCCAATATCTCTAGATCAATTTTAACATCAGGAATTATCCATGTTGGTACCTCTCCCCATACAGGTGACACACTACATTCTATATTTGTTATCTGATATTTCTCTGCTAACTGATTTATATTCCATCCATATCCTCTCCCTTAGTTATTTGAGTATTCCCAGCAATTATTTAAAATATCTTTGGCTATATGTTTTCCAGAATAACTCTTTAAAGACAACCAATATACCAAAGACAATTGAACTCTCCTCAAACTCAATGGCATTTCATTTGCCTCTACTAATAAAGCATTGACTGGTGTTGTTTTAGTTATGCACACTGCTTCTTCTTCTTCTTGGTTTTTAACGACATTACCGCCACCTTCTGCTCCGGAGTGTGGAACAGAGTTTTATATTCTATTCATCAGCCCCGTCTTCCTAATAATAATAAAAATAAGCTTTACTATTTATTTAACCATTTTAGCAGAAAAGCACCATTGAGCAGAAAAGACATAAATGCATTTTCTACAAGACTTTTGAAGACTTATAGAAAAATACAATAATTTATTCTCTGCTCAATTCAGTATTTTATTTGTGATGTAGAAACGGTGAAAATTAATTTAAAGGGTCATATGATGCTTTTTTAAAGATCATTATTTGGTGTATTTGGTGTAACAGAATATGTTGACATGCTTTAATGTTCAAAAAACACATTATTTTTCAAATACTGTACATTATTGTAGGTCCTCTATGCCCCGCCTCTCTCAAACGCTTCGTTTTCTACAAAACATCTGGTTGTAATATGGCATGTAGGGACGAACGAACATCCGGTTTTCTGTGTCTAGCATTATACTTAAACGGAATACACGCATTAAATAATCTTATTAGCAATAGTTTTAACTTTAAAAAATATTATTGCTTATTTATTGCAACAGAGTTGGCTTAAAAGGGAGTCTGAAAGACCCTTTATGTTAAGTTCAAGCCATAAGTAATCTGCAGCAGGAAGCTTTTCTTTAGGACTCTGAGTAATAAAACCCTGCTTTTATTGCATGACGTTGCTGCCCAGGGATGTACTCAGTGCACTCAATAGCACAAACAAACTATTGTATAATTCATAACTAGTATGTCAATGCAACTGTTTTAAAAAGGGTGCAACATACAGATCTGAGGTAAAATCAAGAAAGGTAAACAAATTAAACAAATAGCAAATTTCTCAAAGTTATGTCAGTGTTCTCTTTAAACCGCTTGAGTTTACAAAATGTTTGGGAGGGGGTGTAAAATGTGCCGAGTCACTGTGGCTGTAAGAGTTCACATAACAAGGCCAGTATTGTTGAGATTTTGGCAAGAGTGTAAAGTGTTTGGAAGTCCCCCATATTGTGCCAAAAGATTTTATTTTATGTCTCAAAAGGTTTAGATTTTAAATTCAAGTGAGTTTTAATACACATAGTTGCAAAGCCACTTGACAGAAACTCATGATGTTAATGTTTATAAAATCTTTATACTTTATTGCTGCAATTAGCAGATTAAAGCTGTGCAATAATGTAAACGATCAGACTAATTCAAATTTAGCTATATAGTATGTATTGCTTTGACTAAGTGTACTATATGTATGCAGGCCATTTTGGATGTTCTGTATATCCAACTTGAAATATATTTCTGGATGATAATATAATTTCCATTTTGTGACTATAAACAGTCAAGCAGTTGAGATTTGCTGTATACTATATAATGCTTAAATTCACACGATGCATGTATGGGATATAATGGACATCTACAAACCATGTACACGTGTCCAGTATACATAGTATAATAGTTTTAAATTGAACAAATACATGAAAGCAGTATGAGCTGTTTATTTACTGTTATTTTCATAGCATATATATTGTCATATAGCATAGATATTTTCATAGCAGAGTGGAAAAGTTTTGTTGAGCAGGCTGAGGCCAATGAACTGACCTGAAAAAAAAAAGTTGCATTCTTAATATTCAGGTTGTGTAACTGTCCTCAATTGCCCCTTAATGTATTATCTAACAGAAGGGGGCCTGACTGTGGTTCCCATTTCAAGCCAAACATCCTCCACAGTGTGTCTAGAGTTCTTCCCTTGGGAGGCAAAAGCGGAAGATGCTGAAATTGAAGCATGTAGCAGATGTTGTGATGAATAAGAGGGTGCTTAGCAACCTTACATTCTACATTTCCCAACTTAAAGTTTTGTAAGAACACACAAGCTTCTTAAAATCTTCCTGTTTTTGACCATTTTATGGTATCATCATTAAAACTTGTCTTCCAATTTACAGAGTGAACCTAGAATGTTGTGAAAGAGTTTGCAAGAGTTTGAATTTCCTTTCATTGTGGCGATCATGTGACAGGACATCCAGAGAGTTTGGCGTTGTTTCTTTAACAGCAGTCAAAACAGATGTTGGCTTTTGAATAAGAAGTGCTGCTCTGTGCGTTTCTACTAAACAATACTGAAAATCTTTTGGGCTGAATGGAGATAATGTACATTTATCTTGCTAACTGGACATTCCCATAACTTTTCAGATAGATAAAGAGAATGTTCTCAGATGTGCTCAAATTCATGTCTGCAGGGAGTGAATGATTCTTTTCCTTATAACTCGAAAAACATGTGACATGGTTACACAATCCCAATATGATGAATTGTCTATACACCCAGATGGTTTCCTGACATGACTGTTTTGTAATGGCTCAGCCTGTCGTCTATTGCTCTTTTTCATTAAATGGATAATTTACTGCTGATAAGAATTGGCTTTTAAAAAAGCTTGGGTGACAATGCAGAAGAAAGATTTTTTTTAAACTGGTGGTGCTACATTATATTACTAGAGAAAAAGGGATGTGCTGTTACTTTTTGCTTAAAAGGTAGGAAAAATGTAATGCCTATAACACTGGGCTTGATCCGACTGTCCGTGAGATGGGATGCAAAAATGCAGAAGTATGATCTGATGATCCTTTCACAAAAGGAGCTGTCAAATTTATATATACTGCATTTATTTCCTCTTTAGATGGGGTATCTTGTTCTCACACCCACGTGACTTCACTCCAGTATGTACGACCGAACTAGCCCGTGCTGCGAAGCTTCATGATGAGGTTAAGAAACGTGATGTGAAGATGATCGCGTTGTCCATTGACAGCGTGGAAGACCACCGCAAATGGAGTGAGGTCTGCAGATATTACACACATACATCCCACAAAAGAAATACTAAACTCTTGACTCATTATTTATTTGATTTATTTATACATTTTATTTTTAATTTATATGATTTTTTTTTTAATTATAGTTTTAATATTAATATTACTACAAAATTTCAAATCTTTTAAAATTCTATTCTGTCCTGTATTTGTGATAGTAAATAAAGTGTTTTTTTATTTATATATATATATTAGACTTGTGCCGGTATTCGGTAACGCGATATATCACGGTAATGAATATGCACGATATTGTTATCGTGGGCACTTCTAAATACCGTGAATAATTATATATTACAAATTATTCCGAATTTTGAATGAATTTTAAGAATACTTTAACCATTAACTGGTCAAAATGCACAACTGCACTGCTGTATGCTGCGTGAAAGATGCGTACGCACTCTGATGTAAACAAGCGCGGACGAGAAGCACATGGAGGAACATGTGAGAGACGCTCTGGATGAAAACGCACTTTCACTCTCTGACAAGGTGGTTGATGTACGGTGTAAACAGGAGCTGATGCTTTACTGATACATCTGGTTGTAATATGGCATGTAGGGACGAACGAACATCCGGTTTTCTGTGTCTAGCATTATACTTAAACGGAATACACGCATTAAATAATCTTATTAGCAATAGTTTTAACTTTAAAAAATATTATTGCTTATTTATTGCAACAGAGTTGGCTTAAAAGGGAGTCTGAAAGACCCTTTATGTTAAGTTCAAGCCATAAGTAATCTGCAGCAGGAAGCTTTTCTTTAGGACTCTGAGTAATAAAACCCTGCTTTTATTGCATGACGTTGCTGCCCAGGGATGTACTCAGTGCACTCAATAGCACAAACAAACTATTGTATAATTCATAACTAGTATGTCAATGCAACTGTTTTAAAAAGGGTGCAACATACAGATCTGAGGTAAAATCAAGAAAGGTAAACAAATTAAACAAATAGCAAATTTCTCAAAGTTATGTCAGTGTTCTCTTTAAACCGCTTGAGTTTACAAAATGTTTGGGAGGGGGTGTAAAATGTGCCGAGTCACTGTGGCTGTAAGAGTTCACATAACAAGGCCAGTATTGTTGAGATTTTGGCAAGAGTGTAAAGTGTTTGGAAGTCCCCCATATTGTGCCAAAAGATTTTATTTTATGTCTCAAAAGGTTTAGATTTTAAATTCAAGTGAGTTTTAATACACATAGTTGCAAAGCCACTTGACAGAAACTCATGATGTTAATGTTTATAAAATCTTTATACTTTATTGCTGCAATTAGCAGATTAAAGCTGTGCAATAATGTAAACGATCAGACTAATTCAAATTTAGCTATATAGTATGTATTGCTTTGACTAAGTGTACTATATGTATGCAGGCCATTTTGGATGTTCTGTATATCCAACTTGAAATATATTTCTGGATGATAATATAATTTCCATTTTGTGACTATAAACAGTCAAGCAGTTGAGATTTGCTGTATACTATATAATGCTTAAATTCACACGATGCATGTATGGGATATAATGGACATCTACAAACCATGTACACGTGTCCAGTATACATAGTATAATAGTTTTAAATTGAACAAATACATGAAAGCAGTATGAGCTGTTTATTTACTGTTATTTTCATAGCATATATATTGTCATATAGCATAGATATTTTCATAGCAGAGTGGAAAAGTTTTGTTGAGCAGGCTGAGGCCAATGAACTGACCTGAAAAAAAAAAAGTTGCATTCTTAATATTCAGGTTGTGTAACTGTCCTCAATTGCCCCTTAATGTATTATCTAACAGAAGGGGGCCTGACTGTGGTTCCCATTTCAAGCCAAACATCCTCCACAGTGTGTCTAGAGTTCTTCCCTTGGGAGGCAAAAGCGGAAGATGCTGAAATTGAAGCATGTAGCAGATGTTGTGATGAATAAGAGGGTGCTTAGCAACCTTACATTCTACATTTCCCAACTTAAAGTTTTGTAAGAACACACAAGCTTCTTAAAATCTTCCTGTTTTTGACCATTTTATGGTATCATCATTAAAACTTGTCTTCCAATTTACAGAGTGAACCTAGAATGTTGTGAAAGAGTTTGCAAGAGTTTGAATTTCCTTTCATTGTGGCGATCATGTGACAGGACATCCAGAGAGTTTGGCGTTGTTTCTTTAACAGCAGTCAAAACAGATGTTGGCTTTTGAATAAGAAGTGCTGCTCTGTGCGTTTCTACTAAACAATACTGAAAATCTTTTGGGCTGAATGGAGATAATGTACATTTATCTTGCTAACTGGACATTCCCATAACTTTTCAGATAGATAAAGAGAATGTTCTCAGATGTGCTCAAATTCATGTCTGCAGGGAGTGAATGATTCTTTTCCTTATAACTCGAAAAACATGTGACATGGTTACACAATCCCAATATGATGAATTGTCTATACACCCAGATGGTTTCCTGACACGACTGTTTTGTAATGGCTCAGCCTGTCGTCTATTGCTCTTTTTCATTAAATGGATAATTTACTGCTGATAAGAATTGGCTTTTAAAAAAGCTTGGGTGACAATGCAGAAGAAAGATTTTTTTTTAACTGGTGGTGCTACATTATATTACTAGAGAAAAAGGGATGTGCTGTTACTTTTTGCTTAAAAGGTAGGACAAATGTAATGCCTATAACACTGGGCTTGATCCGACTGTCCGTGAGATGGGATGCAAAAATGCAGAAGTATGATCTGATGATCCTTTCACAAAAGGAGCTGTCAAATTTACATATACTGCATTTATTTCCTCTTTAGATGGGGTATCTTGTTCTCACACCCACGTGACTTCACTCCAGTATGTACGACCGAACTAGCCCGTGCTGCGAAGCTTCATGATGAGGTTAAGAAACGTGATGTGAAGATGATCGCGTTGTCCATTGACAGCGTGGAAGACCACCGCAAATGGAGTGAGGTCTGCAGATATTACACACATACATCCCACAAAAGAAATACTAAACTCTTGACTCATTATTTATTTGATTTATTTATAAATTTTATTTTTATTTTTTATTTATATGATTTTTTTTTTTATTATAGTTTTAATATTAATGTGAAGATGATCGCGTTGTCCATTGACAGCGTGGAAGACCACCGCAAATGGAGTGAGGTCTGCAGATATTACACACATACATCCCACAAAAGAAATACTAAACTCTTGACTCATTATTTATTTGATTTATTTATACATTTTATTTTTAATTTATATGATTTTTTTTTTAATTATAGTTTTAATATTAATATTACTACAAAATTTCAAATCTTTTAAAATTCTATTCTGTCCTGTATTTGTGATAGTAAATAAAGTGTTTTTTTATTTATATATATATATTAGACTTGTGCCGGTATTCGGTAACGCGATATATCACGGTAATGAATATGCACGATATTGTTATCGTGGGCACTTCTAAATTTTTTTTAAGGGGATGTTATCAAAGTTGCAGAAATTGCATCCTGAAATACAATTTGTATTGCTTCATTATACTAATTATTTATAACTATTATTTTATACACTTGTTCAAAAGTTTGGAATTTGGATTGATTTTTTAAAATAAAGAAAATGAATACTTTTATTCACCAAGGATGCATTACATTTATCAAAAGTGACTAAATAAATTTTTTAATGTTACAAAAAATAAAAACAAAAAATTAAATTCTGCTCTTTTGAACTTTCTGTTCTTTAAAGAATCCTGAATAAAATATATCACCCTTTTCAAAAAATATTAACTAACACAATTGTTTTTTTAAATAGCTGCTTAAAATTCAGCTTTGCAATCACATGAATAGTTGGCATTCAAGTTACATTAAAGTAGAAAATGGTTATTTAGATTGTAATATTTCAATATTAGTGTTTTTATTGTATTTATGAAATCAAATAAATGCAGTGACTAGGTAAGCATGAGACTTCTTTCAAGAACATTAAAAATATTAATGACCACAAACTTACGATCAGTAGTGTACACTGATGAAAATTGTGTGATACTCATAAACGGACACTTAAGAGGTCACATGGACCTCCCTTTCTTAACTCCATTCTATGATGCTGCATTGTTTTGGGACTCTTACAGCTTGAGTGTCTAATAATTGGCCTGTAGCCCTTAGAAACGCACACAGAGGACTTCTCTGATTGGTTCAGACAAAACCACCATACTGTAATCCCGAGAGGGTTTTTTCTGCTGCTGACTCTCTGAAACTCTCCCTGAACAAATTCAATCACAAAAGGGCTGATTACATGTTACAAGACATCTGGCTACCTGGCCAAACATTTCATAATAACACTAGAAAATGCCTTAAAAACTAGTTTGTAAAAAGTTGAGAGACTCCGCTTTTGCTGCTGCTGTTTTTTTTTTTTTAGTGGTCCGTTGGTTTTAATGCTAACTCTTTTACTGGATATAAAGACGTACTTTCACACCCAAATGTGCCTTTGGCTGAACTCTTGTTTTCAAATTCATGTGAATGTTGCAGACACCCGGTTCCCACAAGAGTGTGTTTTGTGTGATGTTAGTCACTGGTAAACCACAACACTCTTTACTCCTACACAAATATCCAGATGTGTACATATACTGTAATGCTCTTAATTGTAAAGACTTCACATGGAAGGATGACTGACTGAAATCTGCAAAAACAGTGAATACGACTTCATATTTATGTATCTTTTGCTCTCTCTAGGACATTATGTCATTTAACCAAGACAAAACGTGCTGTCCCGTGCCGTTCCCCATCATAGCAGATGACAAGAGGGAGTTATCAGTCTTACTGGGGATGCTGGACCCTGATGAGAGGGATAAAGACGGGATGCCCCTCACAGCCCGCTGTGTGAGTTTCTCAACAGGGTTATTAGTTAAAACCTAAATCCATGAAAAAACATTTTTTTTTTGTTGCTTGAAATAAGTGATAACTGAATTAAAATCTAAAACTCGTTTTATTTCACTTTTAATTTTTATTTTATGTACGAAAATGACAAACTAAAAATTAAAAATGAGTGAAGTATATAGACATTTTAAAACTAATATAAATGACAAAAATGCAAAATCTAAAAATAAAATGAATTAAAACATTAATAAAAGTTTAAAGCTGTAATAGTATCTCAGTGTTACTGAAATAACACTGGTTCTCAGTCAGGGGCCCCAATAAGTCGGTAGGACGCTTGTTTTTTTTGAAAATGCATTTCCCCCCCCCCCATCACACCTATTGCACCTTTAATTAAAATGCTAAAAAATAAAGATGTATGAAATTTAAACCATATTTTTTTTTAATAATATTTTTGAACTTGTTTTATGACAACAGAAGCACCAGAGGTACATATCAGCTTAGATTAAAGGGCCTTTGAATAAATTCTCTGACAAAATGCACTTTGGAGTTAAATAGGTTGAGAACCACTGCTTTAGAATCAGAGCTTTATGCTTGAATAGGGGATTGTGAAACCGTGTTCTGCCTGACTAAATTTCTGTTGATGTTCTGCTGCATGTAACTCTTCCATCGCCCCATGTACCCGCTGATCTGATCTAGTCTTTGCTACAACATGTGCTTTAGCAGCGTAACAACAAAAGTAGTCAATACTAGAAAACCCTAAGGAACCTGCCAAAATAAGTACAGATCTATATCTGAATATGATTAGTGTGGTGTTATTTCATTAATCCACCAATTATGAAACTAAAAGAGCTTATTTCTGTCTGCACTTACCATATGTATTATATTTCAGGTGTTCGTCGTTGGCCCTGACAAGAGGCTGAAGCTGTCCATTCTCTATCCAGCCACTACAGGGCGCAATTTTGATGAGATTCTCCGTGTCATAGACTCTCTGCAGTTGACGGCAACAAAGAAGGTGGCCACACCTGTAGACTGGCAGGTAAGATACAGCTTTTCATTCCTTACTATATTTCCCTAAGTTAGTTCATTTTTATTTTATTGTAATTATAAATTTTTTTTCGTATGTGGTCAAGATTATGGGTGTGGGAAAAAAATAGTGAAGTAAAATAATTTATTTGTATTTATTTTTCTTCTTCTTTTTTCCCCCCTTTTGTTTAAGCCTGGACAAGAAGTCATGGTCATCCCTTCTCTGTCAGATGAAGAGGCCAACAAACTTTTCCCAGCAGGTTTTACCCTCAAAGAGGTGCCTTCTGGGAAAAAATACATGCGCTACACTAAACCGTAACTGATATATTGGGGCAATACTTTAGAAATGGCACTTAACTGACATCATATTTTTAGTCCACTTGATGTGGTGTGTTCTCTCACTTTGACTAAGTGACCCATCACCTGCTACTATCCAGAGGGAGAAATCATCAGAATTTAGCATCAAAATGTCATTACAATCAATATAATTATTGTATTGTGCCTTAATCTCAATAAAACTATGATCCTTTTGTAATTTAAAAAGATGTTGAGTATGGCCTATGATATTTTGACATTTATATGAATAATGAATTCTAATTTTGAATACTTGCTGTTTATGACTCATTTCTAATATGCATAAGTAGTTGTGGTATTTCATGGTGTATATAGTATGTGCTACCCAGTGACCAACAAAATGTTTTGTTCCTTGAAGCGGTCATGACTGATTTTGGACACCGTGTAAGATGGATATATTGCAAATGCCATTTAAACATACTGTAGATCTGGTTTACGTGACCTAATTTGATTCAGTAAACTTCTTTATAAAGTGAGGTGTTAAGAGTTCAGTAGTGTGCTTGGGAGTATTCACAAATATGGGTTAATAGAAATGAACTTTAACACCATCAAGAGGCAGAATGAGGAAAAACATGTTGCCAGAATGAACTTTGATTTATAGTAATAAATCTATATTGAAAAAGCATACACAAGGAAAATACAGCCGGGTTTAAGATTGAATTTATTTCTGTGGTAAAGCTGAATTTTCAGCAGCCATTATTCCGGTCTTTAGTGTCCTTCAGAAATCATTCCATTATGATGGTGCTCAAGTAATATTTCTCACAACCAATGTTGAAGACAGATGCTGCTTAATATTTTTGTGGAAACTGATACTTTTTTTTTTTTCAGGATTCTTTGTAGAGAAAGTTCAAAAGAACAGCATTTATTGGAAATAGATTTTTTTGTTACAATTTAAATGTCTTTACGGTCACTTTTTGATTAATGTTAATAAGGGCTCTGTGAATAAAAACATTAATTTTCTTTCAAAAATGGAAGTCCTTTATATGGAGAGCCAGCTGTCGCTGAAACAAATGCCTTGACTGATGAAACCTTAATAGAAATAACACACCTTTGTGACAGTGTATGGTTTATCTGTGTTCTTCAAACCATCTCAGAGATTTTTCATAAGGGTAATGTATATTTGTTATGCAGTGCTAATTGGCATAGCCTTTATCACTGAAGAGAATACTATGGCTTATCATTCTGTGATAAGAAGCTACATCAGTTCACAAAAAGAAGTTATTTCAAACACTTGATTGACGCTACAACTCGAGTTTAGGGTAAAATATGTTGTTATTCTCATAAATTCTTGTACTTTGATGCTTTGCCGATGATGGGAGAAACAAACCTTTTCTAAGTTTTGAATCAGTTGAACCATTTGTGTCGCAAAACGAATCACTGTTTCGAAGTGCTCAAAATGCCACACGCTAGCGGCGCCTGCGGGTCAGAATGGTGTAAATGCAACGAAAATTCAGGCCAAAACATGCATAAAAACAGCTTTTACAAAACCCACTGCAAATGCTTTATTATTGAAAGTATAATATATTATATTCAAGTAACAAGTCATCATTAAATATACCATTAAATGTCTGTATAACGTGTTCTTTTATTATTCAATTTATATTAATTATTTATTAGAATATTTTTTTATTTTTTTCAAGATTTCTATAAATATCGCAATATATCGTTATCGTATTTTGGCCACGATAATCAGGTAGTGCAAAATCTGATATCGTGACAGCCCTAATCTTATACATAAAAATACCTCTTCAACATTGTTTTCGACATTGATAATAAGAAATGTTACTTGAGCTCCATAATATTAAAATGATTTCTGAAGAATCATCATGTGATACTGAAGACTGGAGTAATGACTGCTGAACATTCACATTTGCCACAGAAATAAGTTAACATTTTTTAAGGTTAAATACAAATGTATATATCAGTTATAAATAATTGATAATTTCAGATTTCATAAGGGTCAATTTTCTGTAAATTTGTCAGTACAGGCTGCCAGTGATTATCTCTGAATAATGTTTTAAGTGGAAATGCTATTTTAAAAACTAATGGCTTGTAAAGATGCGTGGCATGTTCAGAAATCCGTTGGATGAATGTTACATGGGGTGATTAATTAGTCCTATGTTATATTAGCTGTTACATCCTCATATCCTAATATGACCAGGGAAATATAGTGTTGTAAACAGTAATCTGATAGTCCCTTGCACCACATGAAATATCCAATAGGAGGCGGTATAAGATCTCTGATCGAATCTCAAACAGCATTTCATACAAACTAGAGCAAAGGGTCAAAGCTTTATTTTACAAGTTTAACAAGTCAAGCATTAAGATGACAAATTACATGTCCGACCTGTTGGTATGTTGCTGAACTTTCAAACCTTGTTGAACAACCCCAAAAAGCTTCAAGGAATTCTCGAACTGTGATGCCAAGCATCAATGCTGGGTGTCAATGAGGCATGAAAGGACGCCTTGTTATCACAAGCATTCCGTTTGTACATTAAAACCTGAAAAATGTTCCCACACAGGCTCTTAGCGGAGTAAATCATTGACACACAATCCTCATTCCTGGGTTACCAGCAGGAAGCGCTCTCCTCAGGCTTTGGCCCTGGGCTCTGAAGAGCAGGTGAGAGCTGTAGTGATGAGAGCAACGGGACTTGTGTGGGGGTTTGGGTTACCACAACTATTCAGCCGACGTTACTGCAGCTCGCATAGCAGGGTGAAGGTCATGGAAGCTATGCGGCTCGACAGCAAGGGCCAGATGCTCTTTTACTTCAGAGTAGAGGACAGATTTCCTCTCTCTCCCTCCCTCCCCAAGAATGTCATGAAAACAGGCAGGGATTCCCCTCATTGTCAGTGAGCTACAGTGAAATGCAGATGGCATGTGTTTGATCGTGAAATGCCAAGTTTCCGGGATGCAGGCCGGACGAGCCAATGGTAGTGTCCGTTACCCTCTCATTACCCCCATCAACTCTGGTGGTTCCCGGCTATCAAAGACATTTCCCACCAAAAATTTCAAATTATATTTTAAAGAGAGAACATGTACCACTAGATGGCAGTAGCAGTTTGTGTTGAAGGTTTTCTGCACTAACAGCCACAACTTTGATCTTAGAATCAATCTTGTGTCTTTAGCTCTGTTTAGAATGACAATACTCAAGAATGGATTATGAATGAAGTCAGGACCATCAAGGACGGATTATACAGCCTCGCAATGTCAGGGTCCTCCAGCTGAGAGGCCCTCAGGGGCCCGAAACCTGGAGATGAGCTACTGCAGATGTACAATTCATTTAAATTGCTTGAATAAATGCTAGTGACAATTGCCATAATGTGAAATAAACAAGAAATGATCTTCAAGGATAAAAAGCTATGATTGATGGATAGTTTTAAAAGAGCCATTAAGCTGCAGTCACACTAGACTTCACACTCGATTCGCTTCCATTCATACGGACATAAACATGGGAGTCCGGAAACGCTTATGCAAAGAAGTTTTATCTTTCGTTGCAGACCATGGTTCACGTTGGGTGAACTCTGACATGTGGATTTGTGTAATGGATAGTCATTTGACCAATATTTGACCGACATTTGAGCATCTAAATGACGCAGATTGACCTCCTGGCTGAATTCAACAGGCAAATTTAAAAGCTATGTGGTTTGCAAGTAATATTGGATGATTAAAGTCTAATGTGACCACAGCATTAGGGTTACATCTCAATATGGATATATAATCTTTGCAAATAATATTGTAATGTTACCTGTGCAAAGAATTTAATGGTGTGTGACCAAGTTAAACTGACAGCATTTGTGGCATAATGTTGATGAAAAATAATAAAAAAAAGAAAGGTGAGGTACTTACATTGAAAGTAAATTAGGTTCATTTTTGGAAGGGTTAAAAGAAATGTGGTTTATATAATTTATAAAAGTAAATTAATCATTCTGTTAAAACTTTTGTATTTTTTTAAGCTGCAAAATTTGTGCTGCTGTTTAAGGTGTTATGTCATGGCAACAAAGATACCTTTATGCAAAAGATTATTACATTTTATACAATAAAATAATGTTTAAAATGCGTATTGTTTGCATCTTGTGGCTATACTATTGAAACAGTGAGTATTTTTGGCCCCATTCACTTCCATTGCAAGTACCTCACTGTAACCCAGATTTATGCTCTTTTTTTTTTTAGTCAAAATTAGTTTTTGTGCCATTGATTGAGCTTACCTTGTATTGAACCTGGAATATTCCTTTAAATAGAGATTCCTTTAGAGTGCACCGCATATTCTATCAAGTGCCTCTCTGTGCTCGTGATACGAAAATATGCCGTCTTATGTTTGTGATTCGTGAGATAACAGAAGAACTTCAGCAATAAGCAGCCACGTTGCTAAAGTCACACATGCGAAATGGGGTTGTGAGGGGTTAAAGGGGTCATATGTTGTTGCTAAAAAGAACATTATTTTGTGTATTTGGTGTAATCAAATGTGTTTATGCGGTTTATGCAGTTTTTTTTCAAAAAACACATTATTTTCCACATACTGTACATTATTGTTTCTCCTCTATGCCCCGCCTTTCTGAAACGCATCGATTTTTACAAAGCTCATCGGTCTGAAAAGCGAGGTGTGCTCTGATTGGGTTTCTCACAGTCACATGCTCACACAATTCATATGTGCATATCAAATGTGCAGAAGAGTTGAAGAGTCACCTCTACCGATCAAATCCATTTCTCACATACCAGACCACAATGGCAAGTGTCAGAAAATTGCAAGTGACAGATGTTACCTCTCCTTTGTCACTGAACTCTCTCTCTCTCTCTCTCTCTCTCTCTCTCTCTCTCTCTCACACACAC